AGAGAGAGAGAGAGAGAGAGAGAGAGAGAGAGAGAGTTGGGGAGAGGGGAAGAGGAAGAGAGAATCAAGCAGGCTCCATACCCAGTGCAGAGCCCAAAGCAGGGCTCAATTCCACAACCCTGGGATCATGACCTGAGCCAAAGTCAAGAGTTGGGTGCTCAACTGACTGAATCACCCAGGCTCTCCTCAATGAATGCTTTTAGATGATGATGATGATGATGATGATTTGGAAAATGGTCAGACGAGAGCTCTGAAAGTAATTACAGAGTTAGAAATAGAAGCTAAGGGAAGAAGTTAAGGAAACTAATATTACTTAGACTAGAAAAGAGGCCAAAGAAGAAACTTGATAACAGCTTTAAAAGAAAAAAAAAACTTGAGCTTTCTGAGGGCTAAGCAAAGGGAAGTGGACTAGAAGAATCTAAGTAAAAGGGTAAATTTCTTCCTTCCTGTTGAGGATTGTTATGGACACTTGAGAGCATTTATAAACATAATAAACTCTTTTTATTTGAGCTTAGAGTCAGGGATTTGCCAAACATGGGCTCTGATGAAGGATTTCAGCATGAGGGTTGCATGACCTCTTGCACAGTGTCCTTAGAAATCTCTGGGTGGCTCCTAAATCTGCCCTATGTCCTCATACAATTTGAGGAGGCCTTTGTGGACTTCCCTGCTCCTTAGTCTTAGCATCTTTACAGGACTGTTCCAATGCCCAACACAAGCCTTACTTTAGCTCCTCAAGGCTTAATTAATTCCTATACTCCTTGGCCCTGAAGCCAAGTGGAACAATGCTCAAGGCTGTAAATTTGGCTCAGCATGCCCAGAAGGGCCTAAAATGCTGGCTAGTCCAAATATGATACCAATTCTTAAATCCCCTGTTTTATATCTAGCATCTGCTTGCACACCTCCAATTATGGGAAGCTTCATTCATCCCCATAGAAGACATAATACAATGAACTTTGGACTAGGAATGAGGAGAGTTGGGTTTGAGTCCCAGATCTGCCACTAACTTGCTGTGTGATTTTTGTCAAGTCCCTTCACATTTATGGGCCTATTTCTTTATCAGTAAAATGGTAGTGGAGGAATCTCTTTGTTTTAGTTTATGTTGGTTTCATTGCTGTAACAAATGGCCCTCAAAAATTCAGTGACAAGAAGTTTGTTTCTTTTTAAAATTTTTTATTTAAAAAATTTTTAATGTTTATTTATTTTTGAGACAGAAAGAGAGAAAGAGCATGAGTGTGGGAGGGGCAGAGAGCGAGGGAAACACAGAATCTGAATCAGGCTCCAGGCTCTGAGCTATCAGCACAGAGCCTGATGCAGGGCTCAAACTCATGGACCATTAGATCATGACCTGAGCCTAAGTCAGACACTTAACCAACTGAGCCACCCAGACACCCCTGTTTATTTCCTATGCAATATTCATGGAAGGGGTTCCAGATTAGAGACAGAATTTTGCTCCATGTAATTATCTAGGGACCCAGACAGAACTGATGGCAGTTCTTCCAGTCTTAATACATGGCTTGCAAGATGACTTTGCAGTTGTAGCTCACAGGAAAGCAGAAATATCATGGGAGTTTTTTTATGGTCCAGGCCTGGAAGTGGTGTGTATCACTTTTATCCATACTGTATTGGTCAGAATTCAGTCATATGGTCATACCAAAGTGTTTGACCAAAGTGGTGGAGAAATGGAGTGCAGCCATATGGTGGCTAGCTAGAAGGTCCCACCATAGACTTGATGATCTCTAAAGGCCCTCTGCCCCAGCTCTGAAACTCTGGGTATGTTTATTAACTAGACTCCTGGTTCCCACATTGCCCTGCTACAAGTGCTTTGAAAATCACCTAACTTCTCTGACCATTAGGGACTAGAAAGATGGCAATGAGGCCAATGCAATGACCCCTGTGAAAGGTCAGAGAAGAACTGAGATACCAGCTGCACCACCAGGTACCACATTAAGTTGTCTTTGTGCTTCTTTTCTCTGCAGCCTGGGTAGGAGCCCTCTCAATGGGCATGATCTTCTTCTGTTCTCCCATTGTGAGTATATTCACTGATCGTTTGGGCTGCCGAATCACAGCAACTGCAGGGGCTGCTGTCGCTTTCATAGGCCTCCATACCAGCTCCTTCACCAGGTAAGGCTAGGAGTTGCTGGCCATTTGCCCAAGGCTGAAGGTTGGCTTCTTTCTGGGCTTCAACTAGGGATACTCATTGAACAATCCTCTGTGGTCCTTTCCATGTAGAGTTCTCAAGACTCTGCTCCTGAGAATCATTGTACAATGGGATTCATCTAGGTAGGTTCTCCAGGACACATTGATATATAATATCCCCAAAAGAGGACCCAAGAGTTCCAAAGTGGTGGGTGGAGCCTAAGCTTGAGAGTTCATGAAACTGGGCCTAAGTCCACTTTGGGCCACTAAATGGCTATGGAACAATATATTAGTACCATTCCCCTATCTGGGCCTCAGTTTCTATATCTGTAACATGAAGGAGTTAGACCAGATGGTCTTTTCAGGTCTCTTCCAGCTCTGCCATTCTATTCCCCCTTCCATGTGCCACACAACGCATGACCTCACTTGCCTTCCTGGAAATGAGCTTCTGGAGTGAATCCATGTGAAACACCTACCATTACAGGATTCCTGAGGGAATCTTATATTGAAAAAGAAGTCAGCTGAGCCCAAGGCTGTTTAGCATTTCTGGCTCCTTTCCAGGTATTTTTGGCTGCCAATGTATGGATAATTTGGGAAAGAAAAAAAAAATCATGTCTTGGGCATAAGAAAGGATGTTTAGCAGCATCTCCCACTGGGGTATAGACCTAGCACCCAGCTACCCAGCTAGGCCTAGGCTAACCTCAAACTCCAGTGCAGTTGGTCCTACTGGCAAAACTTGGTAGTATCAGGCAAGAAGCAGGCTATAAGTTAATGTTCTGGTTTCTTTCTGCCAATCCTGCAGGATCATGTCTGCAGGCGAGGGGAGAAGTAAAAACCCTCCACCATGGCCTGAGGAATATGGAATTCCTAAAGAAGTCTGTTGGCTTTCAGCCAAAGATGCTTTGGAAGTTATTATACCTCCTACTTCCAATCTGCCTGGGCTGGTATATGAAAATGCTGGCCTGGAGACATGGGTAACTTGTCAGAGACTTGTTTTCTGAGCTTGGCTCACCAGAGAAGGACTATGGTTATGCTCTCTAGGCCTAAGGTTCCACTCAGAGTGGAGAATAATTGTGTTCTGCCACAACTGGGCCCTCTGAGGGGGATCCAGCTTTCCTTATGACTTGAGCATTTCTGGCTACTCAGCCTACCCTCCAGCAGAGCTTGTATATGACCTACAATGATTTCTTGGCTTCATCCCATCCAATTGGGACAGAGGAGGGGAAAACCATGTTCTGCTTGGAATGTGCTCAGCCCTCCTATGGCAGCAGCTCCAAGCCCTTTCAGGATCCCTCTGGTGGTTGGCCTCATTTGCCCTCAGTAAGCTGGTGCCTGGTCCCTTGAGGGAAGGAGCTAGGCCTCAGAAGTGGCTCCAGTCTTGGCACTACACAGCAGAGGTCTGTTTTTTAAGGTTGAGCTGAGCAAAGTATAAACAAATTAGCAACATACGGATCCCACTTCTCTTCCAATACACGTGAGCTCGGTTATAGGAGGGGAAAGAGCTTAGATGTATTTTTTTCTGGCATTCTTCTTTAGGCACATTGGAATAGGCATTCTGTTTTCCATCCCCTAAGCCCTTCCCCACCCCCTTTGCCTTTTCTGTAAGAACATCTTTAGAGCCAAGAATCTTTCTGAATGGCTTCATGTCTGTTGGGAAAGTGGTTCTGCTTGTGACTAGAGCTCCAAGTCATCCCTCCTGTTGTCTGAATTCGGGCTCTGAGTTCCATTGGATGACATGAGGTGGGACAGAGTGCAGTCAGGCCTGGAGATGCCTTGTCAAGCCTATTCAGGGACTTCCTTCCTTCCTTGAGGCCCAGCTAGAAACAGATCCATCAGATAGCACTCTGAACCAAATCCCATGTTTTGCCCCCACTTGCCCTCTCCTTGAAGGTCTACTTTAGACCTTCCTAACTCCTCTCCCTTACACAAGGTCCCCAGACCAAGCCAATCCCAAAAAATCTGACAGAAGAGGAGCAGTTAGTTTAGCTATGTATTCCAAGTGGAGGCAACACTTTTGAAACCAAAGCTTTTGCTCATATCCAGTGAATGTAAGCAGATGAGAAGCAACCTTGCCATTTGTAATGACACGGTTGGAACTAGAGAATACTATGCTAAGTGAAATAAGTCAGTCAGAGAAAGACAAATGCCATATGATTTCACCCATATGTGGAATTTAAGAAACAAAAAAAAAAACATGAGCAAAGGTGGGAAAAAAAGAGGGAGAGAGGCAAACCAAGAAACAGACTCTAAACTACAGAGACCAAATTGATGGTTACTAGAGGAGAAGTTGTTCAGGGGATCAGTTAAATAGGTGATGATTAAGGAATGCACTTGTTGTTATGAGCATTGGGTGTTATACGGAAGTGTTGAATCACTATATTGTACACCCAAAACTAATATTATACTGTTAACTGGAATTTAAATAAAAACTTAAAAACAAAGAAAAGCAATGGTGATTCAGTTGTCTTACAACTGTTGAGTGTTAATACATCATCTCTGCAACATAGACCTAGTGCTTTAGTATAAGGACTGGGTCCATCTACGGGGACAAACCGCTTGACCATGGAGAGTATTAGTTAATTAAGTGGTCAGATAAGATCTGTTGTAAAATATGTGGAGTCTTCAAAAAGAAAACAAAATTCTTCATTAGGTTGTGCGAATATTGTCTAAGGGCAGATGGCTGGCCAAGGTAACCTTCCCATGGCCTTTACTCTTTTGAAACTTTGCCTTCTGTTACAGAGGCTTATGGCCACAGCAGAACATAAGAGTTTTAAGCCAGAACCTATCTTACTTGGCCAGGCCCACAACTTCTTTGAGGCTCCCCTTCCCATCAAGCAACTAGGCTACTCTGAGAGGCTAATCCATATCATGTCCAGCAACAGGAACAAGGCTCTGGAAGTTAAAGGGACTCCTTACTTCAGGATCCCCAGGGAGATCATCTAGGACCTATAGTAAAGGGTCATGGGATATCCAGACCTTGGGCAGGGTTGGAGATAAGGTGTCTCTCAGCCATTTTCTGAAATATTAAGGGCCCCTACCGTGGAAAAAGGTAGTAGAGTCCCATGGAGGATCTTGACTTTCCAGGATCTTGGCTTCTTGCAGACTTTTGTTACTTGGGTTAAAGCTTTGGCTATCAGCTTACCCATGGTGTCTAGGTGAGCAGTAGGTGAAACTGTTCTAAGGCCCTGTCTTACTCCTTATAGTCTCTTATCAAGCCATTGCATAGGTTGATTCTGGCATTCTTTTCAACGATTCTCTCTGATTGGGTACTATGATTCAAACTAGAGTCATACAGACCAAGAGTCAAGTCCAAGTTTCCTGATCCTGTTATGCTACATTGGGTGAATTAGTTCTCTGAGCCTCTGTCTCCCTATCTGCATTATTAAGTCCTGTTCCTTGTCTTTTCTGAGGGTAAGTGGGGCTGTGGGTTAAGGGTGGGGGTATGCAGGTCTCAGGAGGGTGAAGGGAAAGGGCAGACAGATTCCTGGTCAGGCTGCTGAGAATAGTTCTTGGTGTTTCTCCCACAGCTCATTAAGCCTGCGTTATTTCACCTATGGGATTCTCTTTGGTTGTGGCTGTTCCTTCGCCTTTCAGCCATCTCTCGTCATCCTCGGCCACTACTTCCAACGCCGCCTGGGTTTGGCCAATGGTGTGGTGTCTGCTGGAAGTAGCATCTTCTCCATATCCTTTCCTCTTCTCATCAAAACACTGGGGGCTAAGATCAAGCTCGCCCAAACCTTCCAGGTGCTGAGTACCTTCATGTTTATTCTTACCCTGCTTTCACTCACCTACCGGCCACTCCTACCCAGTTCTCAGGACACCCCAAACAAGAGAGGTGTCCACACCCTGTGCCAACGCATCCTGGCTCAGCTTAGAAAGTACTTCAACATGCGAGTGTTCCGCCAACGTACCTACCGCATCTGGGCCTTCGGGATTGCTGCTGCTGCCCTTGGCTACTTCGTTCCCTATGTACACCTGGTAAGGAATATTAGGGTGGGCCCACCTTACCTCTAGGAAGCTGCCCTTGGCCTGCCTGAAGTCCAGAGAATAGAGGTGGAGGATACTAGAAGGGCAGAGCTGGGACCTTCGGTAAAAGAGACCAAACAGTGTTTGAAGAGACCCAAAGTGGGAAAGAACACAGACTGAGGGAAGATCTCAATGGGAAATGGGTAGAATTCATAAAGGGAAAGTCCATGCCTGTTTCCCCCTTGATAAATCTAGATAGATTTTTTCCCCCTTGATAAATCTAGATAGATTTTCAAGAGAAGATAAGCATCATTGGGATTGAGAAGACTGGCTGAGATGACCCAAGGGCAGGGTTTTCTAAGAGTGTGTTCTGTGGAATGCTGGTCTTTGTGGTCAAATGATTTGTTTAGGAAACAACGTATAATCAATCTCTCTAGCTTCGTATTGTCACAATCTTTTAAATGTACCAAAAAATCAAGCAGTAAAAGAAACCCACTTAGCTTCATTTAACCATTATCCACCCAAATTATACTACCATAGAACTGTTGGTTATAGTCCAGCTATTATCTTCCATAGATCTTGTGTTTCTTAAAACACATGTCTGGAAATTTTACATGGAAGTTAGTTCTCTCCCCTGGTGACCTGCTGTTGCCCCAGGGTATCAATTCTGGGTCAGGGAATGGGGAGATTTGGGGGGAGCCCTTGGGTTTTCTTAGTTGTTAAGGCTGTATTCTGTCCTTCAAGCCAGGGCTTGGAGATACCCACTCCCCTTAGCTGTTGCTCAGAAGCCCAGAATCCAAAAAGCCAAGGGATATGAAGCCTTTTAAGCAATTAGAAGTAGCCAGAAAGCTTGTTCTGGATCTAGGGCTACAAAGGAGGGGGTTGAAGGGAAGGGAGCTCTTGCTGTGGTCCAAGAAAGCAAGCAGTAGAGGGTTCTGGATATACCAACAGTTAACCAGTCAGCTCCTTTTCTTCCCCCTGTCCTTGGGGGTCCTGGTGTTATGCTTTTCAGATGAAATATGTGGAAGAGGAATTCTTGGAAATCAAGCAGACCTGGGTGCTCTTGGTGTGTATTGGGGCTACCTCAGGCCTTGGGCGTCTTGTGTCGGGCCGTGTCAGTGACTCCATTCCTGGACTTAAGAAGATCTACTTGCAGGTGAGTGTTACCACCTTGCCCTTATCAGAGTGGTGTGGGGAGGAAAAGCCTGCCACAGATGCTAGGTTACCCCCAGCCTTTGGGATAGAATGGTAGGTTGTATCATTACTATGCCCTGGGCGCCAGCTCTGACACAAGCTTGTTGTTCAGCATGGGAAAGTCAATCAAATTCTCCAAGCCTCAGTTTGCTTGGCTTTCAAATGAAGTCATCTTTGTTCTGCCTCCTCCATCAAGATGGAGTAAGTATCCAGTGAGAGCACTGTGTAAATCGAACCTGTAAGAACACTTACAAGAAAGCGTTTATTAATAATGGTTCTTCCATCTGAAATAGGAAACCTGAGGCTAGGAGTTAGATGCTGACTCCCATTGAGGACTGATCTCCTTGCTACTCCATACTCTCTTGGAAGGTCTTGGGCATCTATAGTACTCTGTGGCCCAGTGTTTCTCTCCTCTAAGCCAGCAGGACCAAGTCAATCACTTCTTACATTTCCAGAATTACTTGCACCAAGCATTGGCTCTCAAATATTATCCTCTTGATGGACGCAAAAATAGTGCCAGAAAACACAACCTTACTTCCCCTCTCTGGGCCTCACTTTCCTCATTTGTACAATAAGAATAATTCTTGCCCTTCCTCTCTTACCTTACAGAGGAGGATCAAAAGAAATATAGGTGTAACCAGGATTTGGGAAGTAAAAAGCTGTTATAGCCATGCAAGATTTTAATCCTTTGGACAGTAACACAGTGCATCATATTGCAGGCAGTTTCTGTGTGAACTGAGCTCTGGTCTTGCTTGGGACTACTGCTCAAGCTGTCTGTCTTTGTCTACCTGGCAGCACTAATGCCTCTCTGACCCTTGCTCATGCTTTTTGCTCCTGCAGCTTGGTTTACCACAATGTTTTCCACAAATGTGGAACCCTGTGAAGGGACAACATCAGCCCTTCAAAACATGTGGTCACAAATAATCCATTAAGAAGGTGGTTGAGTTCTGACTCTCCTGGAGAAGCCCTAAAAGCACTTCCAAGGGGCCCTGACTATTCTCATAGTAGGGATTTCTCTGTCTTCTGACAGCTTCAAGTGTTTTCCTAAATATTCTAAGATGTCTTAGACAAGAATATGATTAAGGATTTCTGTTGTGTTTAACTCTGTGTTAGATTTGCAAAAGCTGGTGAATCTTCTTTGTCAGAGCTGGGGGTGACCTTGTGGTTTATCCAGTCCAACCTCTCATTACACAGAAACTGAGAGAAAGACATACAGACAGTCATGGCAAAGTTGAATTCATATGTAGCACTTTTCTCATATTTCACTTTATACTAAGTGATGGGTGGCAGAGCCATGTTCTAGAGATAAGTAACTTGACCAAAGTCAACTCAAAAGACTGTGATTGAGATAAACCAGTTATGAAATTTTGAATTCCAGGGAAAATATCAGGAATTGCCTTATCTGGGTGGATTTTTGTATAGGAGAATGTATGTCTTTTTCAGCTTCTTCCACATGCCACCCCTGTATGTCTTCCCTGTCAGTATCAGCAGCTCCAAGATGCTAACAGTGCTGGCATTGGGCCAGGACTTTATCTTGAGGAAAAGAGCAGCCCCTGTCTAGCCATATAGCTCATTTCTCATTACAGTCCCTAGGAGAGAAGTAGGGCCCAAGCAGCTTTTGCTGTCTATTGTGTAGAGAAAGTTCCAAGGGAGGTGGAGGCATTAAGTAGTCAGAGGCAGAACTAGGCTTAGGACCCAGTGCTTCTGCTGATCACTTCCCCTACCCACCCAACATTCTCTCCCCTTTTCCAGTATTACTTGACCCAACTTTGCCAGTTAGAGTAATATAAAATAATCTTAGAATGTTATAGCTGAAATATATCTTTATCAATTATAGTCCAACTGCCTCATTTTACAAATTGAGGAACTGAGACCTAGAAAGGGAAAAATGAGTCCAAACTCATCTTTCTGGCAAGTGTCTCAGGCTAAGAACACAAGACAATGGATAAACTCCTCTTGAGCTTCTCAAGATACTCCATCACAGGAATTTGCCTCCCTTGCTCCCTGGGTCAGATACAGGAGTATAGGCTTGGGAGAGGAAAGGAGTGTACATAACTTAAGGTTCTGAAGAGATACCCACTAGACCCTGTAGTTCCTACTATTGGAAAAGACAGGCACATGTATCTGATATACAGACTTCCCCTTGACAGTATGCTAGAAAAGAAATGGTGACAGCCTGCAGGACAACCTCACTTTGGGCCAATTCTTGAGGTCTTATTCTCAGTTTAAAGAGAGATTTTTAATTTCTGAACTTTTCAAGGCCTCATGGAGGATGTTAAGCAGCAGCTAGATACAATAGGTAGTAACTGGAGATGACAGAAATCAGTTAATGGGATCCTCTGTGTTGTATAATGCTATTAACTCTTAGTTGCCATACCATTATGGCTTGGTTGATAGGTGGATCTGGTTTTATCTTCTAGTTGTGCATGAATCTCCTAGAGGACGAGCTGGAATATCAAGGTTCTTATTCCTAGATTCCACCTAGCTATCCCAAAACAGCCTAGGCAAAGTTCAAAAAGTTTTCTAGCAAAGAGATTTCCTCACATGGCATGTCCAGGACATTTCTTATCCTCTCTGAAAACCAACCAATCAACCTAACAAACCCACTGCCAGTACAACACAAAATCTTTAGGGCTTGAAACAGCCTTGACCCTCCTATCCCATCCATGTGGTGATTTGGTGATTTACCCTTACTCTGTGGTCACTTACACTTCCTGGGTAAGTTTACCCTCCTGTGTGAAGCATTAGAAAATCCTGGGTCCTGTTAAGGCTTTGGTAAACAGATCAGGTCTTACCCCTGACCCTGCGATGACCTGGCTCTGCTGGCTACAGTGGGTGAGAGGAGGGGGTTTATTTCCCTGTCTGCAGCCCAGGTCTTCAGTCTGGCTCACTGACACAGGTTGCAGATGACCTTAATCAAAAGACCAACTGTGTTTCCAGTTTCTCTTCTCTCTTTTGAGTGGGAAAAACCAGCCTCTGGAAAGGCAGCTTCTTTGTTTTAGAGTCATTTTGCTCAGCCCAAAGAAAGCCCAGTGGCTAGTCAGTGCCCCTGAACTTGTTTCAGCTCCCTAGACCCCTCCTAGTGTCTTGGTTCTCCTTAAAGTCCCCTTTGTTGTCTTTGCATGGTACCCAACCAAGTCCAGAGGACCCCACAGCCATGCTGAGATGGGTGGTGTGTCTCATGTCCTAAATCATAAGGAACCTGGGTGAACCTCCCAATGGTCTTCTTCATGCCAATGTGTTTTCTAAAAGTGGCCACCCAATAAATGAGCGCTGCGTCCTTTCTTATTTCAGAAAGCTCTGCCTTCCATTCATGCCCCCATCTAATCATCATTCAAGTTATCCTCATTTCCTTCTCTTCCTCTTCTCAGACCTTACTTGGATCTGAGAACACCAGCATGATCTGATCCCAGACCCTAATACCTGGGCAGCCAAACACAAGATCAGAACAACAGCAATTTCTTTTAGCTTAGAGTCCAGTGAAAAGACAACTTCTTAAGGGTGGGGCCATGCCCTTTACCTTTTTAAAAAATGTTGATGGAATCACAGTTAAGTAGGGACTGTCTTAAAAACTTCAAATCTTTCAGTGCAGGACTTAGAAAGGGCCTACGTAATTATTTAGCCCAACTGCTTTCTCTGCTGACACTCCCTGTCCTAATTTATAGATGGTAGAAATGAAACCCTGAGAAAGGAGATATGATTTGCTATGTGGTCTTGACTGACAAGCACAACATGACCTAAGGTCCTTGCTCCTCCAGGTCATCTCCTTCCTGCTCCTGGGCCTGATGTCCATGATGATTCCCCTGTGCCGGGGCTTTGGGGGCCTCATCGTTGTCTGCCTCTTCCTGGGCCTGTGTGATGGCTTCTTCATCACCATCATGGCCCCCATCGCATTTGAGCTGGTGGGCCCAATGCAGGCCTCACAGGCAATTGGCTACCTCCTTGGCATGATGGCCCTGCCGATGATTGCTGGACCCCCCATTGCAGGTGAGGCTGATACTACAGGGAGGGCATGAGTGTGGGAGTCCTGTCTTCCCTGGGCCCTAGCAATCCTGAGTACCTCTGCTGTAAGTCCTTTTTTTACTCTTATTCTCTATTTAAGCAGCCTTGTCAAAGTGTATGAAACCTCTTACCTCTATTAGTGGAAGAGGTTAACTACAGTATATGTGCATGGATTCATTTTTTGGGAATGGGCTGTTCATGGCTCTCTATCTGTTTCAGTGGGGTTTTAGACAGCCTGGATGATTCCAGGAGGGTAAAGAGAGAAATGGGTTTGGCTTTTTGATCATTCTCTTGGTTCAGTGTCTTCTATCTTTCTCTTTATAAGCAAATAATTATTTGCAAGGTAGTTGGGCAGAAAGAGAAGAGAAAGTGGACCCTGGCTTCATTAAGACTTAGAGATGCTCCCCCTCCTTCTCTATTGGCTTCTGAACTAAGCCTGTAGAAGAGACTTTGATTAAAACCAAATCCTAGGACTGGGCCAGTGAGGCTTACTTCTAGCAGGTAGTAGGCAAAGTGTTGGCTTGCTGTCTTTCAGTATTCTCAGTTTCCTTCTCCACTCTCCCAAAAGAGCATTGTTGATACCCCAGGGGACATATGAAACAAGGAAAACCAATGAAAAGAGAACTCCATTTCTTTTCTTTAGGATTTAATGCAAATATTGATTTGTGGGTTAGCCTTCCTAGGCTATCCAACTGGGCTAACTCAACAAATATCCCTTGAACACCAATTGTGTGCAAGGTGTTGTAAGGGCATGTCATGCTGTGTGACAGTGACAAAAGCTTCCACCCACGCCCTTGTGCAACAGCCATGGGGCTCACTGAAGGAGGGGAGCCTCTACCCAGCCCCCAGTCCCAGAGGTGGATCCCAGAACCACATCTCTTTCCATTTTGCTTACCATCTAAGCAGCCCAAGGGCCTACTTTCTTTTCCTCAGTAGTGTTTCTGTGATCATCTTTCCTGTGAGGTGCCCCATGTTAGCTTCTGAAGGTAAGCAGGGGAATACTTGCATACCATGCCAAACATATCCATGTTATTAGCAACCTATAGAAACCCAGAGGGGCCAACCATATCTATAACCGGATGAAGGATATACAAACAGCCTTCCCTTAGGGTGAATGGGAACTTCAGAGAAAGGGCACTTAAGAGAAAGAGAAAACAGAAACTTAGCTGAATTGTTCCATAAGAACACTCTAGCCTAAGTTGGGGGTGGAGGGTATATCACTATAAATCAAGTCAAGACTTGGCCATCTGTGGAACTCTTTTGAACTAGCTTCCCTCCTAACTCCATACCTAGGAGTGACTGGAAGTCAAGCTGTAGCTTCATGAAAGTAAAAAATGGAGAACTTCAAGAGAAGCTTTATTAGCCTCTTTCATAATAAGCATTAACCTCAAGGGCCTGCAACTCCATTACCTCAGAGAGGAGCCACCTGAATTTGTAACAGAGGTTTTATTTTTTTCATTGCAAATGTTTAAATTGAGGGGATCCTGGGTAAAGTAGTGCAGGCCAAGATCCACTGGATAGGCATTGTGATGGCCCCTAAAAGAGGCAGATAGCACCTTTGGGCAAAAGGGCAAAGCTGAACTTGACTTGTCTCTCTTATTTCAGGCCTCCTCCGCAACTGTTTTGGGGACTACCATGTGGCCTTCTACTTTGCTGGTGTGCCCCCAATCATTGGGGCTATAATCCTCTTCTTCGTCCCTCTGATGCATCAAAGGATGTTCAAGAAAGAGCAAAGGGATTCCAGCAAGGATAAAATGTTAGCCCCTGATGCAGACCCTAATGGGGAGCTGCTGCCTGGCTCCCCCATCCCTGAGGAACCAATCTAATGTGTTTTCCTTGCCATTGTGTGCTTCTCCCCAACCCTTTCCCTTCACTCCACCCTGCTCAGCTTTTACATTTTTGCCATCAGCACACTTGTTCTCAAACATGCACACACAGCAGTTCAGACACCTGACCATCCCCTTGGAGCCAAAGCTCCTGTTAAACTCATTAACCAAATTCTCCCTGTTAATGCCTTTAAATTTGCCAGGGTCCTTCTCCCAGGAGCTAGAAAAGCTTGGGATCCCCCTGGCCTTTGGAACATCTCCATATACTTTCTAACACCTGGAGATGGTACCTCCTGGCCCCAGATTGCTAGTCACCCACTAAAAGCAACTTCCAAAGGTGCTACTGTGTCGCTCAGAGCCTGGTGGGAAGACCCAAGCCTCTGTGTGCTCAGGATTTCCTTGTCATCTGTCCTTGGAAACCATTGGTAAAGGGGAAGAGAAAGGGCAGAGAAGTAAAATCAGACAATGAGCCTTGCTTAATCTCAGAGCCTCTGAGGGCTGTGGCTTCCCAAGAGCTGTGGGTGACATCACTTTACAAGTGTACAGTTTCCCCATCATACAGTTGGTTAACAGTCCGCTTCTTTCTTCCCTTCATTTGTTTCCTTTACTGCTTCTTCTCCCTTCTCTTCCCCCTCTATTTCTTTTTATGACTGTCATAGATGCATGGGTGCTTGAAGACAGGAGGGATCTAGAGCTTGTGCCAATCAGCCTCACCTTGGCCCAGCCCACCCCTAACATGTCATTAATTCCACTCATCTCAGGCTGAGCCACATCTTACTTTTTAGCTCAAGCTTCTTTAATTATAAACTGGAAGAGTAGAATATCACATAGGGAAAGGGATCTTAAACACCATAAAGCTCCACTCACTGATTTTTAGAGTTTCCAGGCCAGTGCAGTAACTTGCAGGCACTACCAGCTCCCCATCCTTATATTCATCTGTCGAAATGTGAAGAAATTCCTTTCATTTCAGCATGCAGAGGAGGACTGATGATGGGGGAGGGCATGATTGGGGGAGAGGCAATAGTTATTGACCTGGCAAAGGACCAACTCCTCCATCTCTCATTATTAATGATAGGTTAATATTACCATCTGGGTCAGGGCAGGAAAGGGACTGTTTTAGGGAAAATCCCATTCCCAACCTGGATGCCCCAAGGGTAGAGGCAGCAGCTGCATGTAGTGTTGAACAATTTCTCTTAGGAAGAGGGAAGCCTCCTAGCCTTTATCACTGAATGTGTCTCCCATGCTGGGCATTCTGAGCCATTCTGCTTAGCAGGCATTAAAGGTGCCAGGAAAGGTAGCGTCTGGACCATCTTAATCCCTCTGAAATAGGTGCCAGATGTTCCCTTATGCCCAGATTCTGGGCAACACTTTTGCTGAAGAGCATTCCCAGCCAGGCTGTGTCCAAGCTAGCACAACTCACCCCCTTAGGAGCTCAGTTTCTCTCCTTACTTGGTCTCTTTGTGTCTCTTTCTCCCTATTCTGGGCATTTGTCTGTTGTGCTCCTGTTACTCTAATCTTTCATCACCTTCTTGTCAGGCATCCTTGGCCGTTACTAGGAGCTAACAGTGACTTGCCACCCTAAGACAGGGCCATCCCAGGGACAGAAGGATGAGGTTGCCTGTGAGGAGCTCCAAAGAAAACAGTGGTCCCCACCCATAACATTTTCCGCTACAAACAGGCAGCTGTGGCATGGTGGGCCTATGATGGCCTCATTCAAGTCCAAAGTCCTGTATGCCCTCCGTTGGTCCTAGTCCAGCTTTTATCAACCCCCCCAAAGGAAAACCCACGGGCTCTTAGACCTGTGGATAGGAAGGGGCCTAATTACTATCCTGTTGGCTCCAAAAGCAGTGGAACAGGGGGAGCTGGGCCCCAGAAGCCTTGTAACTGACCACTGAAAATGTTGGAGCAACAAACCCCTGCTCTCATTCTTCCTGTCCTTCCCCTACCAAGTCACTAAAGGGCAGTTCTGTAGGGCCTCAAGGTGAAGGCCTTGAGGTGAGCATCTTTTGTTGCTCAAGGTGAAGATAGCTCTTAAAAATCAGGTGCCAACTACTTCTCTCCAGATGAAGGAAAGACATTCACAGGTCGCAAATCTGCCCTATCAGTTGTCACATGACATAGTGGGATATCAGTTTATTTCTTCCACATATGTGCATGTACATGTGTGAGCTTGTGTGCTTTTGGAGAGAATGCTGGTTGGTGAAAGCAGCTCAGTATTAATATTTCGGGTAGGATGCAGCCTCTAATGCACCACAGTTAAATCTAGGAAAACGAACAAAATTTGGGAGCTTGAGATCTGGGACATTTAAATCCTCAAAAGGTTTGGAACAAAATAAACATATCTAAAAATCTAGATTTGGTATGTGTGTTGCCTACAAGGGTGAAATACTCAACCTAGTTAACAGCAAGAAGTTTGGCTTCAGAACTGAAATTTCGTTTCAAATAAAATTTCTGCCAGGGTCTATACTCTCTGTGAGAGCAGAAATTGGCAAAGGAGCTATATAGGGGGTTTGGAGCTGGGTGGATTCTAATCTAATCTAATCTAATCTATTCAGGATTAGATTTTTAGGAGCTCTAAAGTAGAAAAGCAGTCACTTTACAAAATGAGAACACAATTAGTGGCTGAGGTTCAGTGGAGGCCCGACCAAGGCTACCGCCTTGGGACTTACATGCCACGTTGAAAATGGACATAGACCTTAGCAACAATCCAATTTAATCCTCTCCCTTGTTATTGATGGAGAACCTGAAGGGACTGGTATAGCTGGGTTACACAGTCAGAACAGCAACAGACCCTGGAATTGAGGGTGATGCAAAAGAGAGACCTACAACAATGACAAAAGATGGGAGTAACTTGAGTCTCCCTTGTCCACGTTCTGCATTGAATTTAAGTGAGGAAACCTGAGGCCTAGCGATAGTAAGGGACTGAGCAAGTTCACATAGTTCACCAGTGACAGAGCCTACTGAGACTTGGACTCAGGTAATTGACTTCCAGTCCAGTCCAAATCCCTTATTTTACAGATGAGGAAACGAACTCAAGAAGGGGGAAATAATTTGTGTACTTCATTTAACAACTTATGTAGTGAGCTCATTTCCCAAAGGATGTCAAAAGGACCAGCTCCAAGCAAAAAAGAAATCTGAACAGTTTGATTTTAGCATATCACGTCTTTTCAAGATTACCCTCACCCTCAACCAACACATGCATTTGGTGTTCTCTCTTCCTAAGCACTCAAAACCTTCATGCAGCCTTGCCCTTGGAAAGCTGGCCCCACTTACTGCTCTTCCATCTCCAGTAACCCAAGAGGTACAAATAAAGTCCATCTCTCTGTGGCCATACACTGAACAGGGGAGGGGTAATGAGAGGGGGATGGTTTCCTCTAAAAGAGGGTGGTTTACCATTCAGCTCTTGGCAATTGTCATTTCTCCCCTTAGTGCAGACATCCGTAGGCTACCAGACTCCTCATCTCCTCCCACTGAGACTAATTACTCTGTCCTGCTGCCCGGCCCCAGGCTCTCCCACCCAAGTTATACTGCCTCCTCTATCCCCTCCTCCAGTAGCCCCAAGGCCCCAGTCTGTGTTTGATCACTCAGATCATTAGATTTCAACGCTGTGGAATCCCATAAATTTTATGAGCACATGCTTTCCTCCAGGGCCTTTTTAGGTCTGAAGAGGGAGCCAGCAGCTGCCTGCCACTTCTTCACAGCAACAGAACAGGCCAGCTGACAGGGATTACAGGTGCCCCCCAGCAAATCCCTGATGTCTGACAGCTGGCACCTAGATAGGGTGGATGCTGGTTTGAACCAGAACCCTTGAAGGGAGTTTTGAAATTTTAATGAGCTGAAATGTACAGGAGACTCCAGAGGCATAAGGAAAGGGATTAGATACCACTCCTGTAAGGGTTGAGGAGGTTTTGCTTCAGAAGGCCCTTCAATTCCTGCCTTCCAACTCTCCCTAGTGGTCACCATAAGCAGAGTTCCATGACTGATTTTCAAGTCATTCAGAAATATTTTCTAGGGACCTGCTATATGTCAGGCATTCTGCTAGAACTCAGGGATTTCACAATGAAAGAAGCAGAGGTGGAGAAAACAAAGAGAAAAACACAAAAAGGAATTTATACTATCTTTTTTCTGAGATACATTTTTCTCTTCTGGATCCCAACAGCCCCACAGCTTACAGACCTCAGAGCTTTGGGATGGGAATAGGAACCACCATGGCCCTTCCAGGATGGAGGCCCCAGCATTTCCACCTTACTGTCTGGCCTCCCCCTGGCCAAAGCCACCTGAGAGAACTATTGGCTGCTCAACATTGGTTTCCTGCTAAGCCAGAGCCCAGCCAGATAAAATTAACCACTGCTCACATCTATCTAATAAGTGTCAGAGCTTAGCCCAGCAGCACTCTTGCCTGGCCAGTAGGACTCATAGAATGACAGTACCTGTAGAGCGCCCCCAGCCATACCTGCTTCAGGGATGAGAGACTAGAGACAGGCAATTGCTACCCTCCTTTTCCCACTGCACACCCACGCTA